AATAATAATAATAATAATAATAATAATAATAATAATAATAATAATAATAATAATAATAATAATAATAATAAATGGCATTATCTGTGCAAGAATTACAAATGGAATTTCAAAAGCTACAACAAGATAAACAAGAAGGCAAGGACTCTCTTGGATCTATCTTTTGTTTTTTGGAAATGGCGATTTCTACTTACCAAGAAATACAAGAACAAGAGGATTGGGATGAAGAAGGAGAAGCCATCTTTAATAGTCAATACATTCAAGAGGAAGTATTTAATGGACAAAAAATCATAGCTGAAAAGAATCAGGGGGGGAAGAAAATGCAGAATTCAGAACCTAAAAAAGCAACCAAGAAAGGGGAAAATAAGATGAAAAATCAATACTATGCCAGAAAGCAACAGAAAAGAGAAACACTACAGAGAGGGAAAATCAAAAAAGTGGAATTTGAGAGATGGGGGTGGTAAAAAGACTAGAATTGATAAGAAAGGGAGGGGAAAAGGGAAGAGAAGCCATAAAGGTTCAAAACAAGATATTAAAAAAAAGGTTTTTTTCAGAGACAAAGGGTAAATTATAATTTAATATATGATTCTGCAAAGTATATAAGATTGTATTGTAGATATTAGTACTTGAAATTGAGTTAGAAAATTAAAATATTATGAGTTAATAATGTACTAAAGGGAATGTACAAAATGTTTAAAAGTAAGAGTTTATTTCTCTATGGAATATTGTTTTGACTATACTATCAATTCAATCCCTTTTTTATTGTTGTTTCACTATTTCAAAATGTAGTACTTTGTGCTAAGCAGAATCAGTATGGAAAGTATGTATTATTTCAAGTGTCAAATTTAGGGGAAAGATAAAAGTTGTCATACTTCAACCAGTGATTACAGGAGAAATATTGTATTAGAAAGAAAAGATAAATAGATAATTGAAGAGAACAGACAAAAGATACAAGTATAATTATTCAAAATGAGATGAAATAAATATAATAGAATTATGAGAGTGAATAGAGGAGAGAAAATATATAGAAAATATTAGATCGGGTAGATCGGTTCACACTGAGAGGTGAGACTCGAAAGTGTACATTCAGCTCTTTATTACAAGTAAGGAATGGAACAGTCTTAGGCTTGCGAGCCGCTCGGCTTTATACAGCCGGCCAGCAGCTCGGCGGCCAATGGCAGTGCTTTGAATCTCCCGTGATCGGCTCGGCCAATCGCGGTAGATTCTTAGAGCTTCAATCACAGGAGTTCAGTCATCCAATCATGTCGTGGTGCGTGCGGACCAATCAGAATGCGAGTCTACAAGAATGTTAATATAGAACACCCCTCCCCTCATGGTTTTGTCCGATGTAGCGTGGTGATGTAGTCGCGCAAGTAGGCGGGGCTCCATACCTGCCTAGTTGACTTGCGCGGCTCAGTCTGTGTGTGATTGTCGGCCGGTTCGGGCGGGCTCTGCGTCGCTCTCAAACCTTCCGATGGAACTGCCTGGAAGGGTGAGCCGAGCCTGTCGCTGCAGCTCCCGCCCAGTCTACCTGGGTCGGTCGAGCTGCAGTCCCTGCTGCTCCCACCTGGTCTTTCTGGGCTGGTTGAGCTGGCTTGGCTGTATCTTCCAGGTGAAGCTCCCATCTGTGACAGCTCGAGATCTGCTGGTGAGTATGGCTGGTTTATTTGGGCGTTGCTATCTTTTGGTGGGGGGGGTGTTCGGCTTGCATTTCGGGGTGTTCCGCTGGCGTTTCTGGCCTTTTGTTGTCCACCTGCTTGGTTGTTGTGGCTTCCCCTCCCTCTCTGCTTTCTGTGGTTGTTGTTGTTGGGGCATCGGGGGTGTTGGTGGCTAGCCTAGACCGCAGCTGGTCGATGTGCTGCTTCCAGCTTCTTCCATCAGTGGTTTGGAGTCTGTATGACCCGGGACCAGTTACCTGTGTTATTTGCGCAGGTACCCAGAGTGGGTCTCCCATGAAGTTCTTTGCATAGACCGTGTCCTCGATGTTGAATGCCCGGTGCCGGCTGGAGGAATCTGGGGGTTTCTCTGGGTTGTAGCTGGGGTGTAGCCAGTCCAATGGGGACCTCAATTTTCTGCCCATCAGTAGTTCTGCTGGGCTTTTGTTTGTGGTCGTGCTGGGCATAATATGCTGTATAAGTAGCATTCTGTTTATCTTTTCTTGAATGTCACCGGTTTCAATTTTCTGGATGGTTTTCTTTGTGTATTGAATCATCCGTTCCGCCCGTCCATTTGCTGCCGGGTGAGCCATTGAGGTTAGGGCGTGTCTGATGCCCTGCTCGGCCAGGTATTTTTCAAATGCCAGTGCCGTGAACTGCAGGCCGTTATCTGACACTAAGACATCTGGTAACCCATGTGTCGCAAAGAGTCTGTTAAGTTTGTCGATGACGGCTTCTGTTGTTGTTGTCCTCATGGTGCTTATATCCAGCCAGTTGGAGTAGGCATCCACGGTGATGAGGAATGTATGCCCCTTGGTCGGTCTGGCAAAGTCTATGTGTATTCGTGACCATGGTCCCCTGGGGGTTTCCCATTCCAGGACTGGAGTGGCGGGGGGTTGGACCTCATCTCTTGGCACCTGTTGCACCCAGTGACCCATGTCTCGATTTGCTTGTCCATCCCTGGCCACCAAGTGTAATTTCTGGCCAGGGCTTTCATCTTGACAATGCCCAGGTGCCCCTCGTGTAGCATTGCCAGTACTCTTTTCTGTAGTGTCTCTGGTATGACTACCCAGTCTCCCCAAAGTATGCATCCTTTCTGTGTGAACAGCTCAGTTTGCCAGGTCCTGAAGGCTTTGAACTGTTCGCTGCCATCGTTTTCCGGCCACCCGCACTCTACCCAGCTCAATACCCATGCCAGCCGCTTGTCTTTATTTGTTTCCCGGGCAATGTCTGGCGTGGTTAAGAGCAGGCTGGGTAGAGTCTCTATTTGCAGGGTCATTGTTGTGGGCGCTGGGTCATCGTCCAGGTCTGGTAGGGGTGATCGGCTTAGTGCGTCTGCGTGCGGGATATTTTTGCTGGGTTGGTGTGACAGTTTGTATGAGTAAGCGGCAAGGAACTCGGACCACCTTGTCATCTGGGGTGATAGGATGCTCGGGGTGGCCTTGTTCCCTGCCAGTATCCCAAGCAGGGGTTTGTGGTCTATAATGATTGAAAAGGTCCTACTGTAAAAGTATTCGTGGAACCTTGCAGATACAATTCTAGCCGCAGTTAAGACATTTACAATCAAATATTTCAAATCTTTACTATAAACATCTGGTAAGATTCCCAATAAGAAAAGCTCCGGTTTCAAATCTATATGCTTCTTTGTCATTTTTTCCAACCACATGCGGATTTTAGTCCAATATTTTCTAGCATCCTCACAAGTCCACCACATATGGTAATATGAACCAGGTTTCTGATGACATTTCCAACATTTTTCC